TTTGCATTGTGTAAGTGAATTACTATGTGTCTAGGAGTTGGTCTTCACATAGGATGCCTTGCAAGTATTCTCTGAATCTCTTGTGTTTGAATGGTCATATCTCTGATGAGATGAGTGAAGTTTTCTTGGATAATTTCATGCAATGGTTATTCCAGGGTGGCCTCTATCTCTCTATATGCCTCAAGAATGCCAATTAGGCATAGGTTTGGCCTCTTGATATAATCACACATCTCGTGGAGGCTTTGTCCTATGTTTTTAAGCTTCTTTTCTATGTTTTTTAACAGTTTGGGTAGGTCCATATTTTCATTCTCAAACTCTGAGATTCTTTCTTCTGCTTGGTTAATTCTGCTTTCCATGCGTGTCAGTTATTTATTTTATTTACTGTAATCATTGTTGCCATCATCTCAGTTATCAAATCCTTCATTCTTTCCTCTTGCTTCTCCTCATTTCTATTTATTCTCTCTACTAATATATTGATATCTGGGTTTATGGTTTGAGACCAGTTGTTCTGGGGGTGATTCATTGTTTCAGATCCAAAGTCTGTATTCTAAGTTGCTGTCTTCCCAGGAGTCTGGATGGTGGTTGTGTTCTTCCTTTGGTTCTTCTTCATTTGTGATAGTTTTCCTCCCCCTCCCAATCCCCACTTCAATTCCATTGCTCAGTGGTAGAGGGAATAGCTTTTATCTCTGTTTGCTCAATCTGCTATTCTTCCTTATATAGATCCTCTGGATTTGTTCAATTTTGAAGCCAGACTGGGGTTGAGGGGCTATCTTTTTGCAGTTTTGAAATTTGATTAAGGTGTGATGGGGGTAGCTGTGGTTCCGAAGCTATCTGGAGATCACAGTATCCACTGACTGGTGTGTGGGTCCCCTGTAACCTACTTCCTACCTTACAATCTATCTATGTGGTAGGGGCATATGTATGCCCACTAAAAGCAAAATGAGGTAAGAAAAAGGAAAAGAATGGAGAAGAGAGACAAAGAGAGATGAAGAGAAAGAAGAGGAAAGAAAACAGGTGCACAAATGAACAGAAAAACAGTTAAAGAAAACAACAAAACAAACAAACAAAATCAAAGACATACTCTCCTTCAAATATACCCATATGCAGAAAAAAGAGGGAGAAATAGGGGCAGGTCAAACAGAAGACTCTTACAGAAAGCTATGTGTGGAGAGAGCAGAGAAAAAAGACAAAATTTAAAATTAAAAAGAAAGTTCTACTTCTTGTGGCCGTTTCTGGAACTTTGGGTTGTTGGGATTTTTTAACTGGTGTTTTCCCTGTGCTGCCGCTTTTGGCTGCAGTAGGGAATGGGCTCCAGTCTCTAGCCCCTCCGCTCTACTCTAGTCTGCAGGCCAATGGGGCTGCTCTCCACATGGCTCAGATGCCCCATGGACTGCTGAGGAAAGGGGGCAACTCCAGGACTCTCCCCAACTTGGCTGCTTCTAGGTTTCCCACTCTGACTACCCATGTCTGTGCTTGATCCAGTGTGGGGGTGGGGCTTCTGTCTCTCCAGCATGGTACACTGGGATCATTCTCTCTAGGCAAAGGATGGTGATCCCAGAGGGGTGTGGAGATCACTGGATGCAGGCTGCCTAGAATTACAGGAGCTAGAGAAGGTCCCTGCCAGGCTCCGGACAGAGAAAATGACATCAAAATGGCATCCACCAGCATCTTATTCTCTGGTGGGGCTCAGCTTCAGATATCCTCCCTGCATCTTCTCTGTCAGTATCTGGACATTGCCACAGGTGGTGGTTTGAGCCAGGTGCCAGGTGTCAAGAGGCGTTAATCTCTGCTGCCCTTTGCTGAGAGGTACTCTGGGAATGGCAGATCTTTCTGTATGCAATGGGTGCTGAATTCAGAGCAGCAGCAAATTGCAGTTGCTTCAGCAGTGGGGCCTTGGTTGAACATTTGCTCACTCATTTGTACACACAGATGGACAAGGATTACTCTTTATACACACTCATCCATGCAGAGACTCTCAAATTCCTATAGTTTCTGTCACCATCTTGTCCCACCCCCAGCCATTTTTCTTTAAATAAGTTTTATTTTCCTCTTTCTCTCTCTCTCTCTCTCTCTCTCTCTCTCTTCCTGTGAATTTCATAATGTGTCTCTCTCATCTTCAAAATATGTATATTCTTTAACTTAATGATGTCCCATAATCCTTTAGGCTTTTTCACTCTTTTTTCTTTTTTTCCTTCTGGACCTTATAACAGAGTAATAGCAAATGACCTGTCTTGTTAAAGTTTGTTGATACTTTATTCAAATGTTTGATCAAATCTGCTGTTGAGCCACTCTAGATAATTTTTCAGTTCATTTATTGTATTCTTTGATTCCAGAATTTCTATTTGGTTCTTTGTTGTAGTTATTATTTCTTTATTGATAGTCTCACTTTTGTCATGTATCATTTTCCTAATTGTGTTTAGTTTTTTATTTGTGTTCTGTGGTAATTCACTGAGCTTCACTAAGATGATTATTTTGAATTATTTTTAAGCAATTCATAAATTTTTATTTCTATAGAGTCAGTTAATTACTGGGAATCGATTTTATTCCTTTGATGATGTCATGTTTTCCTAATTCAATCTGTTTCTTGGAGCTTTGCATTGGTGTCTGTGCATTTGAAGAGCAGCCACTTGTCCTTCCAGTGCACAGACACCAACTGAATCTTTATGAACTGGCTGTGACAGGGAAAAACTTCTGTCTGTCACTGGCTAGAGATATTGGGAGCTTCTCAAACAGCTATCTACTTGCCCTTTCTCCTCTGATTTCAGCTGTTTCAGGTGTTTGAATTATGCTGGTTCTGTTAGTGTTCTGTAGGAGACAAGAGATGAATTGGCCCTTGGTGTAACACACTAAAATTCAGAAATATTGAAGATATGCTACACTCTTCCCTCTCCTTTGAAAGTGTTATCTTTATACAAGTGTATAAACTGGCATAGATAAATTGTTTCAAACCAAGAACAGGTGTATAAACTGGCATAGATAAATTTGTTTCAAACCAAGAACAGGATATTGGCACAATCAAGATTCAAATGTCTGTTTGACTACAAAACCCATATTCTTTCAGCAATGCAATTTTGGTGCTTAGTGCTTTTTAAGTTCACTGATATGGTCACAGTCTGTAGCTCTACCAACTACTATACTTCTTTCTAATGGCCACACCCACTTAATTAGTTTTCCCAACTACATCATCCTTATAAGTACTGTTTTTATCTTTTATAAGTTCATGTGATAATTGGTTTTCAATAGTTAGACATAAAACACACTACTGAAAATTAGAATATAAGCTGTTAATGGGTTCAAGTTATAAAAAAGAAAATCATGTAATATAGTTATACAAATGCCTAATACAGATCTGAGTACCTACAAGTAAACATTAAGTTTGACAACAATTCCTAAGCGATTGGCAGTAGTGGGAAATTGTCAGGGGAGGTTGGGTGGGATTGGCAGTTGAGGGAAACTGCTAGGGGAGGGAGGGGTATACCTTATCAACAAGGGTACTTGCATAATCAATGTTTGTATACCTAACCCTGAATTGTTTCCCACATTTTTATAATAAAAAGAAAAGGAAAGATTTTTAAAAATTCCTTTCAGTAACTGTAGCCTTGCTAGGAAGGTTAATAGCAACAACAGCGATAGTAACCCAAATCTTATGTGGGTTTGCCATGTACCCATGTACTTATGCTAAGTGTTTTCCATGTGTTATCTCAATTGATCTTTTTTTTAACAAACAAATGAGATAGTTACTCTTATAATGATGAGATAATGTTACTTAAAGATTAAGAAACTTACCCAAGGACAACAGGAATAAGATTTGAACAAAGATGACCTAACACTAGAAGTGAAGTCAACTACTATGTGTTAAGCCTTGACATAGAGTCTAACATAGAGAAAAAGCAGTTTGACTTACAGAATACCTTCTACCTAGATTTCATAGGGTGTTTTTTTTAGGTATTTGATGAATAAGAAGAGGCAATGTAACAAGGAGCTGAATATCACCTAATCAAAGAGAATAAAGGAAACCATAACCAGGTCACCTTTAACTCTAGGATTTCAGAACCATAAACTCTTGAAAATAACTGTTTAATTACATTGAATATATTAACTTATTCTTTGACTAAAAAAGTAATATAGACTAATGTAGAATATAAATAAATTTGCAAAAATTACAGATAATTTTAAGAAATTAACAGAGACCAAAAGAACAACCCAATCTTCTAGTCTCCTTCATGAGATTTAGGCTTTCTCAGTTTGGGAAGATCAAAAACCTCATTTAGATGCTAGCTTTTTACTATTAAATTATAAAAGTTATATTTTCTTGTACAAAATTAATTGTAAATTCCTTCAGTTCAGACCTGATAATTGATAACTTCCTCAGTACCTAGAACTCTATCAGACATAATATTGACACCCAAAAAAGGGTTTATGTTGAAATTCCCTTATTTGGAATTAAAGAGAGTACCAAAAAGTCTTATGAAATATAGATATAGAAATTTGTATTATCAATCTATTTTATGCTCTTTTTCCTAAAGGAATGATAGCATATTAAAATGAATATAATTTCATTGTTTTTAGCCCATACTTTTATAAAAGTTCTAAATATTAGCAAAATATCAGAGAAGATATTCACTACTCTTAATTCTTAGGAACTTTCCTAATGTATTTGTAATTTTGCAGTTAATGGAAGGTAGGACAAATTGCAGATAAAATAAAGTACTAGTAAATAGTTTAAAACAACACTGGTGTCTACATTAAAAGATAATTGAGCCCATTCTTATTATATGTAATACACATATTTTATACATGCAATTTACATTATGTATGTAATGCATATTTATATGCATAGATAACCCCTTAAGACAGATTTTTATTTATAGCTACCATGAACATAATAAAATTCATTTCATTTTTATATTAATACATTTTTAACATGTCTTTAGTGATCTGAAGAAAGATCTAGATAATGATTCTGGTTTTAACTAGATTTGTTTTTTTCATTTCTTTACCTTGGAGGTCAAGACATCTTTATGACAGAAGAACAGAAGAAATACTATAATGCAATGAAAAAGTTGGGGTCCAAAAAACCACAAAAGCCAATTCCTCGGCCAGGGGTAAAAGTTAAAAAAAAAAAGATATATGTGTGTGTGTGTGTGTGTGTGTGTGTGTGTGTGTGTGTGTGTGTGTGTGTTTTAATTTATCTTTACTGCACAACTTTAATTTCTGGATACTACTTAAAAAATTATCCTACATTCTATATTATTCTTTTTTCTTTGCAGAACAAATTCCAAGGATGTATATTTGACCTAGTAACAAATCAAGCTTTTGATATTACTATCATGGTTCTGATCTGCCTCAATATGGTAACCATGATGGTAGAAAAGGAGGGACAAAGTAAATATATGACGGATGTTTTATATTGGATAAATTTGGTTTTTATTATCCTTTTCACTGGAGAATGTGTGCTAAAACTCATCTCCCTCAGGCACTACTACTTCACTGTAGGATGGAACATTTTTGATTTTGTGGTTGTGATTCTCTCCATTGTAGGTAAGATCATTTATTATTTAGATTTGATTTTTTAATAAAACTAAGCTCCACCTTTGCTCAGAGAAGTTTCTGAAATTTTTAATGTAAATTTCCTTTGGAGTAAGTTAGCATAATGAAAGAGTGAACAAACTTAAAACAACAACAACAACAACACATAACCAATGTCGCATCCTTCACACTACAGTGTTCCTGGGTTTACATCACAGGCCTCAAAGCCAAATGTTTCTATCTGTTGGAAGGACATTATACTTGTTGATATTTGGTTTTAAATATTACTCTCCACAAATATGTAGATGTATCTTGAAAGATTAATGCATAATCTGAAACTGCTTTCAGTTTTAACACATGACTTGTCCTTTGATTAATGATAATATCAACAGCCAGAATATCTGCGACTTTGTGTAAATTCTTTCTGAATTTAAAGTGAAGTTAAAGTCTCCAGAAATGCTAGTTTTATTTCTCATGGCTTAATAAATACTTGGTATGTCTATAAAATGCCAATCATTTCTCAACCAACCGTGGTCATGTCTGTAAATCACAAAACATGGTTTTATACTTCCTTTCCTTTCAGATTGTAGTTACTTTTCTATCTTCTTGATTTTTCACTATCTTCACATGTCCTGCACGATATTTTAGAATTGTATTTATGTTTAGAATTATAAATTGTAAATGGGAAAAGGTTGTGAAGATTATTTGATAAAATTGAACTTATAGATGATAAAACAGGTCCAGAAGGGATCAAAGTTACATAACCAACAACAACAATACCAAATGCCACATAACAGAACAGGCATTATAATCAATATTTTTTAAAAAAGAATATTATCACCAAAAATGGCACTAAAGTTAAGATATACAAAAGCTAATTAAAAATTAGGTGGAAATGTTATAGTAACAACAAGAGTAATTCTGGAAATGTTCCTATTAAGTTAGGAGGAAAATAAGAGTGTGTATCTATCACCTCTGCTTGTACCAATGTTGGTCAACCTATAATCGTAGCACTTTGGGAGGCAGACACAAGAGGATTGCCTGAGCCCAGTGGTTAGAAACCAACTTGGACAACTTGGTGAGACCTCGTCTCTACAATAAATCAAAAATTTTGCCAGACTTGGTGGTGCATGCCAGTAGTGCCAGCTACTTAGAAGGCTGAGGCAGAAGGATCACCTGAGCCCAGCAGGTCGAGACGGTGGTGACCATGAGCATGCCACTGCACTCCAATCTGGGTGACAGAGTGAGAATCTAACTCAAAAACAACAAAACACAAACAAAAAAAACCAGTGTTGGTTAGTGCAATTTGATAACAGAGTTACATATACTCAAACAATGGAGCAAATTATCTTTATCTTCATAATATAATGACATTCTTGAAAAATGAAAGAGAATCAACTAAAAAATAGGTTCAGTTATAATTACAATAAAATTAAAGTAAAATATCTGGTAACAACTTTAACATATAATACTTCTGTGAAAACAACTTTAGGATAAAAAAGGAGACTGAAATAATTGAAAGATTTATATTGTACTTGGATAAGATGACTCCCATTGTAATTAAGAAAATGTTTATATATTAGTCTATAAACTCAGTAAAAATATCAATGAGTGTTTTATCTGGTGGGGATGATAGATTTGTAATATAAGCCTAAATGAGTCTAAAATTTATCAGGAAGAAAAATTAGGAAGATGAGAGGTAGCTTATTTCATTAAATATTAAGACTATTATAATATTTAAGAAAAGTGAAACTGTTTAAATAAAAAAACGTAATGGATTTGAATAGATAGTCCAAAATTAAACATTAATATATAAATACTAATTTACCCAGTTAAAAAAAGGTACATGAATCAAAGAGTTAAGTTTAAATTAATAGATTCTGGTATGAAATAAGTGGAAATAGAATTTTATCCATAAAGTCAAGCAGTCCTTTCTACTTATAACACAAACCTGAGTTTATAAAGAAAAAAAAATGTTGTCACTGAATAAAAATAAAAATATTCTATAAGAGAAAATTCACCACAAATAAAAGACAAAAAACAGGAAAATTTAAATGTAACACTTAAGGCCAATAAAAGTATCAACACTTTCAAAAGAAAACAGTCCTTATAAATTAATAAGAAACTATTAAACATCCGACTAGCAAAATAGAAAATGGGCAAATACCTGACTAGGCCAAAAACAGAAAATTAAAAACAAGCAATAAGGACACAAAATATCCAATACACAATAAAAATTGTTAATTTTTTTTCAAAAAAATGTGAATAAATTTAAATAGTTTTTAAATGTCGCAAAGGTTTTTTGGTAAAAATTGTAAAGACGAATGATAGTACCTAGAACTAATGAACTTATTATGAGCACTTTCATATACTGCCATTAGAAATATTTACTGGTACAGATACTTTGGTGGTAGGTTCAATATATTAAATATATATATATGTATATATATACATATATATACTGTTTGACACAGCTTCTATTAATGCATTATAAAAAACTTATGGAACTAGAAAAAAACAAATCTATTTAGATATTTATTTCAAGAAAAAAAAAGCCCTGGAAACAATATAAATGCTATTCTTCAATATGTGGTTATTTCAACAGAACATTATACAATTATAAGAAGTTATTTTATTGTCATTTGTATGAAAATATCTCCATGACATATAAAATGATTAAAATGAGTTACAAAGAAAAGCTTATATAACATGATTACCTTGGTGTGAACGTATGTGTGTGCATTAGCTTGCATAGAAAAATGTCTGAAGTGATACTCAACAAAATATTGATAATAGTCATAGATGGTAATATTTTAAGCGATTTATATCTCCTTTTTAAAATATTTTAATATATTGCTTGAATTTCCTATATGAGTAGATATCACCCGTTAATTAATGAAAATATCATAGAGAAAATAAAACATCCATAAACTCAGTAAAGAGGGGGGAATGTCACAATGGTAAGTTTAATACTTCTTCTTTGGAATCGCTTAATCCTTTTTTAAGAATTTGCATTTAATATAAACTAACAGTCCTGAATTCATTAGAAACAAGGTAGTGGGTAAAATTTTCTAGAGTTATGATTTTTCATAGCATGGCTATTGAAATATTTCATTTTTATTCCTTTCCTCCCCACATAGGTATGTTTCTGGCAGAGATGATAGAAAAGTATTTTGTGTCCCCTACCCTGTTCCGAGTGATCCGCCTTGCCAGGATTGGCAGAATCCTTCGTCTGATCAAAGGAGCAAAGGGGATACGTACTCTGCTCTTTGCATTGATGATGTCCCTTCCCGCGTTGTTTAACATCGGCCTCCTGCTCTTCCTGGTCATGTTCATCTATGCCATCTTTGGAATGTCTAACTTTGCCTATGTTAAAAAGGAAGCTGGAATTAATGACATGTTCAACTTTGAGACTTTTGGCAACAGCATGATCTGCTTGTTTCAAATTACCACCTCTGCTGGCTGGGATGGATTGCTAGCACCTATTCTCAACAGTGCACCACCTGACTGTGACCCAAAAAAAGTTCATCCTGGAAGTTCAGTTGAAGGAGACTGTGGGAACCCATCTGTTGGGATTTTCTATTTTGTCAGTTACATCATCATATCGTTTCTGGTTGTGGTGAACATGTACATTGCTGTCATTCTGGAGAACTTCAGTGTTGCTACTGAAGAAAGTACTGAGCCTCTGGGTGAGGATGACTTTGAGATGTTCTATGAAGTCTGGGAAAAGTTTGATCCAGATGCAACTCAGTTCATAGAATTTAGCAAACTCTCTGATTTTGCTGCTGCTCTGGATCCTCCTCTTCTCATAGCAAAACCAAACAAAGTCCAGCTCATTGCCATGGATCTGCCCATGGTCAGTGGTGACCGAATTCATTGCCTTGATATTTTATTTGCTTTTACAAAGCGTGTTTTGGGTGAAAGTGGAGAGATGGATTCTCTTCGTTCACAGATGGAAGAAAGGTTTATGTCTGCAAATCCTTCTAAAGTGTCCTATGAACCCATCACAACTACATTAAAAAGAAAACAAGAGGATGTGTCTGCTACTATCATTCAACGTGCTTACAGACGTTATTGCTTACGGCAAAATGTCAAAAATATATCAAGCATATGCATAAAAGATGAAGACAGAGATGATGACTTGCCCAATAAAGAAGACATGGTTCTTGATAACGTTCATGAGAACTCAAGTCCAGAAAAAACAGATGCAACTTCATCTACTACCTCTCCACCATCATATGATAGTGTAACAAAGCCAGACAAAGAGAAATATGAAAAAGACAGATCAGAAAAGGAAGACAAAGACAAAGATGGCAAGGAAAAAAAATAGAGCTTCATTTTTTTATATATTGTTTACAGTCTGTGAAGGCAATTTATTTGTGTTGATAAGACTCTTTTGAGAAGGTCTATGCCAAAACTCTTTTTATCAAAATATTCTCAAAGGCAGTGCAGTCACTAGCTCTGATTCCCTGAGATAGGTGGGCAGCATTAGCAGATGGCTATTTTTGCATTGATGATTCTGTAAGAATTGTAAGAGTAACTCTGTAGGGATTATTGATTATAGCAAACAAAGATAACTTAATTTTTTTTGTTTTTCATAAATCAGAAGACCATGTAGAAAATTTTTAAATCTGCCTTGTCATCTTTTCACAGGATTGTAATTATTCATGTTTCCCATGTAAATACAAGTACACACACAGAAGATATCTATTAGTTACCTATTATTTGGAAATAAAAGTATTTTGCCTTGGCTTTGCAATGAAATGCTTAATATAACTAACGGATATTGGTAATGAATGTTTAGTTAAAACATATTCATATTAGGGAGCTTGATTTTTTTATTCATGTACAGAGGTTATTCTATTTTGAGGTGCTCAAATTTATTCTACATTACATCAGAACCTATTTATATGTACCTATAAAATGCCATGGGATTAAAAACATATATAGGCTATTCATTAAAATAAATACTTTTTCATTCATCTTGATACACATACCAACCAGAATAAGACTTACTTTTGAGTATTGTGTTTGATAGCCTGTCTTTTTTTAGTCCCTCATTGTTTATATAATAACCACAGAACTTGAAAAATTATCCAAGTGTATATCACATTCCTCAAAATAAAAAAAAATGAAAATAAGAAAAAAGCACTTGTAAAAGTTATATTTACTATTATTTATGTAATCTAGCGCTGTACTGTGCTGCCCAGATACTGATAATGGCCTAATTCTTAATCTCTTTTGATACATTTTCCTACTTTCTTATGCAGTATTGTTTGGTTGTGTTTTAGCTGTAAGCAAAGTTGATTTTCAATGAAATGCTTCCTGACATGCAGGTAGATGTTTGACCATCATACATGCTTAAGCAGATAATGACATGGGCACAGTATTAACTGCATCACTTATATGCCATCCTAGGTGTGTTTGTCAAGATTTCAAATCAAAATATATAGTAGGTTTTCAACACAGATTTTTGTTTAGGATGAAAGATAGAGCATTTAAATAGGGATCCTTGCCAACTTGCTTTCTTGCCACTAATTTACTTTTCTAAACTGTAGAAGTAATTTTTTGAGCCTCTATTCTTTAATCAATAAAATTAGGAGGATATCACTTTCTCTTTAAAATTCCATGATATGGTATATATTTTGTATCAATCAATAAAGTACCCCAGACTTATAATTTAACAAACACATATGCATTTTGAATCAGGATTGGACATCAATCTTTTTTCTTTTTAAACTAGTTAGTAATTAAAAAGAAATGGCCACGATAAATCTTTTCATGAATTTATCCCAGGAATATGAGATCTTTATTCTATAAAATCCTTTATGCACAGGCAAAAATTTGAGCTAAACAAGTGGAAAGTAGTTTTATTTGGAAGATTTCATGGGAGTGTTTGAAGCAAATACATAAAACATATTTCACAAATTCCCTAATTAATTTAACAAGTGAATTATATTATATAAGTACTTAAAGCACATATTTTGTGTTGTTTTGGCTAGTTGAAAAGAAAGATTTAAACATACCTAGAGACAAAGAAATATGGGTAGAGAATTAAACAAGTCTAGAATGTTTTTAAATTGTGATGTCAATGATATTTAGCCTGCAGTATGTATAAAATTAAATCTAGGGCCACAGATTCTTTACACTTCTGTTTAATCATTCATTTTAGGCATTTGAGCCACTTTTAAATTTAATATGAAAGATACCATGCGGTGTTTTTTTAGGCTATATAGAGCTTTGTGTTACATACATGCTAAGCATGTTGAAAATAGGTTTTGACACTTTAATTAGAGACCCATACAAAATATATTACATTTGTAAGGTTTTTAATACATCCAGTTAGGAAATAAATATTACCTAAACTTTAATTTCAGTACATAATTATTTTAAAGTGATAAGTATAACTTAATTGTGAGTGATTATATAACGTGGTACGAAAAGATGTTTGGTGGGCAGGTTTATGTGTGATCTACTATTGCTTTTACTTGGCCAGATTTTTATGTAAAATAAAAAATATTGGCAACTAGTTCCTCAAGACAATTTCTACTTAGCATTTCAAAAAAATACAGTTTTTATTTTTCCTATTTCTTGCTGAACAATATTTCTTTAAAAACATAACATGGCTAGCTTTTATATATATGTTTGCTCCAGGAATGTTTACTTTTGACTTTTTGTTGATGAAAACAATATTTCGAACTAAGAGCTTATTAAATGTAAGCTTGAAGTAAAATTAGACTTCTTTTCATGTAGTTTACTTTTATACTGATTATGAAATATCAACCATGAGAAGGCGCTGTCATACTAATATTTAAATTACATAATCACTGAACTTAGTACACCTAATACTACAAAATGGCAATTAAGGGAAATTTTTTAAACTAAAATAAAATAGAAGCAAATAGGCTTGAACACAAATCCATACACTCAATTTGGATGAAAATGGCAGACTCGTTTTAGCTTTTTTATTTTTACCTAGTTTGCAAGAGATTTAAGTGACTCGTGGGCTGTTTCTAAATGCTGATTGTTGAAAATCTCAACCCAAAACGTTAAGCACGACTTTACAGAACTTTGATAAGTTTATTTAAAAGAGTGAAAACAAAATGCATATGAAAATAAAGCAGTCCTAAATAGCAATTTCAGGTAAATGTTAATGGAGGTAATGAGAGTCAGCTAAAATTAGGATGACCAGGTGAACGGCCTAAGTTTAGTACCTATGTATAGAGGCTACCAATTTTATTAAATATCTGTGGATTATTATGTTATTATATTCTTGAGGAAAACAACCAAGAATTGCTTCATGAAAACATGAATAGCCATGAATATAGCAATGCTGTTTATATAGAATTCTTCACAAATTTCATAGATCTCTGAATGTTCAAAATGTTTGAGTTTGTCATAAATTATATTGTAGTTATACTTGGATCCTAGACATTGTAATAATATCTAAAAATAAAATCATTAAAAAATAAACTCATGTTTGCATGTATTTTCCATTTCAGGAAGAATAACCTTTGGGTGTAAATTCTGTGCATTTCTAAATAAGTTACAGTAATGGATAGCTTTTTTTTTTTTAATTGAAAGAACGACTTCAAATATCCTCTATAACAAGTGTTCCTGGATCGAAAAGATGAGGATAAAGAATCTGGAGTTCCAAAGCAACTTATTGAAATCCACTACAAGGTTTGTTCAGTGGGACAAAATTGAGACAGGAAATGAAGATACACAGTCATCTAGCCACACAAACGAGGTATATATTTTTTTGTGTAACAGCATTGAGAGGTAGTGCAGCATCCATAATGGTAAGAATTTGAGTTATAGAACCAGAACTATATTTGGATCCCAGTTAAGTCACGACCCTCTGAGTTCGTTGAATACATTATTCAACCTGTATGGACCTTAGCTTCCTTATGTGTAAAATGAGAAGAGTACTACTTCACAATATACTTGTAAGTGCAATGTCTGACAACACAGAGTTTGTATGAATTGCAGTAGTAGTTAGTGTGTCAGACAGTTTGCTACTAAAAATATTAGAACCCAGGCTATCTCTGTATCATACAGGAGCACAATGCACTCTTCATGAATATTACATAATGACAATTTGGCCAGGCATGGTGACTCATTGTCTGTAATCCCAGCACTTTGAGAGGCCGAGGCAGGAATTTCACTTGAGGCCAGGAGTTTGAGACCAGCCTGGGCAATATAGCAAGGCCCTGTCTCTAGACAAAATTTTTAAAAATATATTTTTTAGTCGTGTGTACCAGCTTATACCTGTAGTCCCAGTTACTCAGAAGGGTAAGGCTGGAGCATTGCTTGAGTCCAGGAGGTCTAGGCTCCAGTAAGCTATGATCACTCCAGTGAGCTATGATTGTGCCACTGCACTCCAACCTGGGTGACAGAGTGAGACCCTGTCAATAATAATAATAATAATAATAATAATAATGAAATTACAATAGTTTCGGGCAGGGCATGATGACTCACGCCTGTAATTCCAGCACTTTGGGAGGCAGAGGTGAGAAGATTTCCTGAAACTTGGCAAGGCCTTGTCTCTACAATAAATCAAAAATATTATCCAGTTGTGGTGGTGTAAGCCTATAGTTCCAGCTGCTCAGAAGGCTGAGGCAGAAGGATCACCTGAGCTCAGCAGGTCGATGGTTGTGATCATGCAACTGAACTTCAGTTTGGGCAACAGATTGAGACTCCAAATCAAAAAAAAATAAATTTACAATAGTTCCTCAGTTTCTTTCTTATGGCTTGGTGTAAATATAGCGCCCCAAAGAGCTTCACACATCTCATTAATAGTTAGCAAATATTTCATGATATGAAATATACACCAAAATATTTCAAAATCTAGCTAATTTTGAGATTTATGAATTTAAACACCTTGCTAAAATCAGAAAATGTGCACAAAAGCTTACCTTAATCCAAGAAAAAAACTAGAAGTGGTGGTTCTCATATTTAGCTAAATAATTAATATAAACCTCTATTTTATTTTAGCTGTGAGCTGTTGATGGTCTTTAAATAGATACACTAAAAATAATTGCTACAATACTGAGACATTATTTCAACTTTGTGTGCTATTATAACAGCATGTAAAAAAGGTGTAGAATATTCCTAGAGACCTCTGCACTGAGAGATAACCACTCTGAAAAATAAAATTATAGTCATGAATGATACTGGAATCTATTTCACCATAACTGATTGACATGAATATAAATTTTCCACAGGAACAAAGCAAAATTCTTTCATGCTATAAAGAACACTATGCTATAACCCAAGCAAAATGAGCTAGCTACAGGGCACAAGATAATCTCTCTTAAGGGAGGGAGAAATTACATTCTAGCTAGAGCAGAGAGGACCTCTGCTGTAGCAGCATTTGAGTCACACAGGAAATGAAACATGAATAATTGATAGTTATAAACAAGCAATAGAGCAAACATTCCACACTTAGTTCAACTCCCCATCTCTCTGAGAGCCATACCTACATTAACAATTGATCTGGCGGTTTCCCACTACCGCCAATCCCTTTCTTATAATATCATAATTGTTCAAGGTCTGCTTATGAGTGAGAACATATGGAAACTGCCAGGGGAGAGAGCGTGGGATTGGCAGTTGAGGGAAACTGCCAGTGGAGGGAGGGGCACACCTCATCAACAAGGGTACCTGCATAATGAACTTTTGTATACCTGACCCTGAATTGTACCCTAACAAAACAAACAGAAAAATAAAAAAACTTGGTTGTGGTGATGGGCGCACAACTCTGCAGACTTAGAGGTGTATACTTTCAAAGGATAAATGTTATAGTGTGTAAATTATACCTCAATACAGCTGTTGAACAAAAATAAATTGATCTGTCTGAGGAAAAGCTAATTTTAAGAGATTTGTAAGGAATATGCCATGTCTGTATCGTGTGCTTTAACTTGAGTCTAACTTAATATATTTTTATAAAAAATG